TATATATATATAGTTTTCAAAATATTAAAAACAAGTTTTTCTTATATTCAAATGTCAACGGTATTTGTATTAGTCTAACGATCTCCGGTCGACTGTAGTTGTGACAAATCCAAATGTGCACAGCGCTTAACGCACCGCTGGATATCACAAGTAGATACTATAATCGCGAGAAAAATCCTTAAGAATGAAAAATACAAATAAAATTACTATACTTCTTGTCATTATATTTTCAATTAGTGAATTGCCGCTCGTGTTATTGTATGCCTATTTGTGAGACCTAATAACCATAAAAAAACATCTCGACTTCAACCTTTAATTATTTCGATTTATTGCCTATCAGATGATAACCCATAATATATTTCTCTTCTGTAAGGAAAAGAATTTTACAGAAATTATACATATAAATGGCTAAACGTACAATAAACGAGATAAAATCCTGTTTGTGTATTACTTGGAACGTAATGACTTGTAATTGCGCTTATAATTTTTGTGCTTATTTTTTGACGTAAGATATTTCGCACGCACTCCAGAAATTGGAGGTTCTGATTAAAAGAGCAGAAATAAATCTGGTGTTTTAGAAAAGAAGTAAACTCAAATGTTTCAACATCAGCAGACGGACGCTTCATGTGATAAAACGTCATAATGTATATAACTTGATTTATTATACAAACTATGTTATGGTTAATGTATATTATTAGAAGTAGATTTATAATATATGATGATCTCGAAAGCATTTAGACTGTCCTGGGTTAATCCTAAAAAAATCTTCATATAAATTTACCGTTGAAGAACAGCATAAGTCTAAGGCTAAGTAATTTACGCCAAACACAGATACATCGATTATTTGTGGTGTATGTCTATAATCCATAATTTTAAAAAAGAATGACATTAAATTCAACGATATTTTGCAATGCACCGCACATGACAGCTCAGCGATGCTTTCGGTATACCACGATACTGCCTTACCTAGAGAAATTAACAGACAAGACAGGATTTCAACTTAAAAAAACATGGCGGCTTCCGATGACATTTCCGGTTTTGGTTAGCCGGCACGTTGTGTTGTTACGGGTGTCCTGGGGAGCAGGAAACTCACCCGCGGTGTGGAGTATCAGCCGTAAGTTTTGTTCCTGTGGTGATCGCAAGAAATTTCTCGGAAAATTCAGTGAAAGGTGTCCATACCTCGTGCCGTAAAATCGTCAACGGGTTCTCGAAGAGTTTAAAGTGAATACTCAAGAGGTTCTACAGTGGGTATCTCATATATTATATGAAGGCGATGATACCCACGTACAACTGTAAAATGGATAGGAAGCACGGCTCCTAAAGGTGCCGGTATGATGTCCACATGGTGCTTACCCCATTACATCGTATCAACGTTTTTCAATAGTTCGCTAAACAACCGAAACCGGTGACGGCCCCTAGCTGTGTTATTATGAAGAATAATTGAAATCCGGGAGATTGGCGCGTCGATGCGATCAAAATATGGGTCACTACTTCAACCGTGGCATACGTTCGTTTCGATTAGTGCGGGGAGAACACCCATTACAATATTTTACAAGATATCCTATTTATGATGCTAGCAAAGGGTGGTAAGGATAAATCCGGGTAAATCTGCTGGCTAGTGTTAACCTAAATTCCATCATGTCACACTCGTAGTATATCCCTTGTTTCAGACTCTTTTCATAGAGCTTGAAAGCAGTACCGCGTTAGCGTTAAAAAAAAAATTTGAAACAGCATCTGATTTAAATATGGTGAAGCTATAACTTAGAAGAGAAATGTCACCAGTGAGTTACCATCAAATGAGTTACCATCTATTTTGGTGTTGGTATTAGAAAAATTCTGTTTGCTAATGAAATTTATATGAACAAATCAGTACTATTAGACCACTTCAGTTAATACATTTCCTCTCCTCTGTTTTGAATCAGCGCGTGAGCATCTATCAATCGAGCGGTCAATCGAGTGGCTAATGCGCCCTCTTTATAAACGATATAATGATCAGATTTTAAACGATTTATGTGCCGTTTTTTAGAAACATACTTTTTTTGTAGTATGCTTATCAGTTGTGCAAGGGTATCTTACATTTTTTATCGACCTTCTATATATGGAACGCTTTGCTAATGAGACGTTTTCGTTTATTATTGAGCCACTGTAACTGCGGCTTTGTTCTTCATGGGCGGGCCATATTACACTTAGTTGGCAGTAATTCGTCGCGAGCACGTTATGTAAATATATGCCCTTACGTACTTGTTGTTTATGGTTGATTACAGACGGATCATAAAGTAAAGTACTTGTTGTTCCCAAAATGTCTCGGTTTTTCGCACGAAGCGACTCCGAGTCGGAGACGGAGTCGTCAGAGGATGAGCAGCAGGTGATCGCAAAGGCTCAGACGCAGGCTGCTGCTGCCTTTGGCCTTTCGGACGATGAAGATGATGTCAAGCGTGTCGTACGGTCCGCCATTGAAAAGAGGTTTGTATTGTTGTCTTGAATAAATTCACTTATGTATCTCCTGTCTTTAGCCGTACTAAATGACTTTTCTACAATATTCTCAGCAGCAAACGTTTATCCCAAAGTTAATTCACGTTAATCTCTTCCTTTGGCAGGAAAAGTATAGAATACTGTAGACTATGCTTGTATATCATGGTGATGAAGTAGAACAAATATAAGAGTAAGCCTAAAATACCTGCCTCTATCCATCTATACGTGTTTTTTTTTGTAGATATGAAGAACTTACAGAACTGATAAAGCAAATCCGTAATCACAAGAAAATCAAGGACATGGCCAAAATTCTTAGCACTTTTGAGAACCTTACTCAGGCCTTTACGAAGGCAAAGCCGGTCATTGACAAGGAGGAAGGCGGAAAAGTGCCCTGTTTCTACATCCGGGTAAATAAGATATACCCATTTTGAAAGAAATATATATACATTGTGGTGTTCCATATTGACACTACATCTTTTATCCTAATTTGGCAGAGATGGATCGGATGATCTGGGCGATTTGATAATGTGACGTGCGACAAATGTAGTGGGCTTTCAGTTTGTTACATCAGAGATCAAATCGGAATCCGTGTGTAATTCTTTCAGGCTGGTCTAGGAAAGTATCCTCCAAAAGCTAAACATTTTTCTCTCTGTTGAACGTGGTTTCCTTGCAATTGAGTATATTTAACTAGCTATTCTAAGAGAACGTGTATTATACGCATCGGTTATGCAGATCCTTGCCGAGATCGAGGACTTCATTATGGAGTGCTGGGAGGACCGGGAAGCTCGTAAGAGTATGAGCAAAAACAACTCGAAGGGTCTAGCAACTTTACGCCAACGAATCAAAAAGTATAACAAGGATTTTGAAAAAGAAATCGCTGCGTGGAAAGCCAACCCCGTTGAGGATGACGCGGATGATAAGTACGTTATGTTAGGTCTTGCGATGTCATGGTATTAACGATACTTCTTGTTAATTAATGTTTGATATTGACATTTTGCTTGTATTGATAGTACAGTGTGGTGCCAAACTCTCTAATATATATTGTATAATTCGATCAGCTTAGCATACACCAGGTAGATTTTTTAAGTATTTTCTTTTGTGCCTATTCGGTTCCTTTCATTTAGAGCTGACGCTGGCGCTGGGTCTGAATCGGAGGAGTCAGACTCGGAATCACAGGAAGAACAGAAGCGTATCGAGACCAAGGAAACAAAGAAGAAGGATGCGCTCAAATCTCTGATGAAAAGCGATAAAGAAAAGGATACTGGTTCGGAGGATGATTCTGAAGATTCGATGGACTGGGGCAGTTCCGACGACGAGACCACATCATCGGACAGTGATGACGATAAATATGCAGGAAATCTGGCTGCCAAATTCTTGAAGCGTGTTGGTCCAGGTGCCGAAAAGGAGGACAAGGACAAGGAACGGAAGCGTAAGGAGAAAAAGGAGAGTCAACGAAAACGCCGTCGCGAAGGGGAGGAAGATGATGGCGAGGGCTGGGAGGAAGTCGTCGGAGGCGTACCTATGCAAGTTGAGAAACCGAAGATGTTTGCCAAAGACGCCGAAATCAATCACCAGTCCGTTCTAAAGAAGCTTAACGAAATTGTGGCAGCCCGTGGTAAGAAGGGCACTGATCGCAATGAACAGATTGCCATGTTGTCTGAACTCCTGTCGATAGCAGACCAGAACAACCTGGGAGCCGCGTTCCAAGTGAAGATCATGTTCGCGATTATCTCGGCCCTCTTTGATTACAACCTGAAGATCGCGCCGTGTATGAAGCAAGAGATGTGGCATAAGACGCTCAGCTACATTAACCAGATCCTTGATGATCTGTTTGAGTTTGCTGATAAGCTGACTATCGGAGAGAATATCCTCGAGGAAAATGAAGTCCTTAATGAAGAACCGTATAAGGTGAAGGGCTGCATTCTGACGGTGATCGAGAAGATGGACGAGGAGTTCACGAAGATTCTGCAAAACGCTGACGCTCATTCGCCCGAATATATTGAAAGGCTCAAGGATGAGATCACCGTGTGCAAGATCATTGACCGGCTGCAGGAATATTTGGAGAGTCGTGGTTCACACTCAGAGCTTTGCCGAGTCTACCTTCGTAAGATCGACCACGTCTATTATAAATTTGATTCGCGTGTTCTTGAGAATAAGGACGCTAAGGTACAGGATAAGAACAAGGAGAATTCGGCTCAGTTAATGGGCCGCTTGTGCAAATTCATCTACGCTAAGGACTCGACTGACCGCATTCGAACACAGGCTATTCTCTGCCACATCTACCATTCGGCGCTGCATGATTGTTGGTATGAGGCACGCGATCTTATGCTCATGTCACATCTTCAAGACTCAATCCAGTGTGCTGATGTTGCTACTCAAATACTATATAATCGCGCGCTCGTACAACTTGGACTATGCGCTTTCCGTCACGGCAACATCCGCGACGCCCACAACGCCCTGCTCGATATCCAATCCGGAGGTAAGTATTCAACAATCGCTAAGTAGGTAATATTTCTGCTTTGAATGAGAACTTCATAGGCATATTTCTTTTTATTTATATTGTTCCTGCTTGCATATGCACATAGAGGATGCATGTTTCTGCGAATTGTGCCAGCAGCAGACATAACGAATTGTAAACAAATGTGAAAGAGCTCAGACGTACGTTGTGCATGGTTTGGGTTTGATGTTATTCGTTGCAGGTCGTGCCAAGGAGATGTTGGCACAAGGTCTGTTGCCACAGCGTCAGCAAGAGCGCACAACGGAACAAGAGAAGATTGAGAAACGGCGTCAGATGCCGTTTCATAAACACATAAACTTGGAGCTGTTTGAGTGTGTCTACCTCGTATCTGCCATGTTGCTTGAGATTCCTGCAATTGTTGCCCATGAGCTAGACGGCCGCAAGCGAATGATTTCAAAAAGTTTCCATTACCAGCTCCGCAACACGGAACGCCAGGCGCTAGTCGGCCCGCCAGAGAGCATGCGTGAGCACGTGGTTGCTGCCAGCAAAGCGATGCGCGTCGGCAACTGGCGAGCCTGCCGAGCCTTTGTTATCAACGACAAGATGAACGCCAAAGTCTGGGATCTTTTTCATCGAGCCGATGAAGTCCGCACAATGATCGAGCAAAAGATTAAGGAAGAGTCGCTTCGCACCTATCTCTTCATGTATTCGTGCGTCTACGATTCGCTCTCTCTGCGAACACTAGCATCACAATTCGAGCTCGAGTTCGCTGGCGTACACTCGATCGTGTCGAAGATGATTATCAGTGACGAATTGGCTGCCAGTGTCGATGAGCCGAACCAATTAATCGTGATGCACCGCTCGGAGCCAACACGGATCCAAGCTCTCGCCCTTCAGCTGACTGACAAGGTGACCCAACTGATGGAACACAACGACAAGCTCTGGGACGTCAAACAGGGCGCCTACTTCGGTCGACCGGGTGGCCACCAAGGCGGCTATCGGGACAATCGAGGAGATCGTGATGGGGGCTATAAGGACCGCCGGGGTGGAGATTACCGCGGGGAAGGTGAACGCCAATGGGGCGGTAACAGGGGACACCGCAGAGATCGCGGCGAACGCCGAGACCGAGATCATCACCGGGGTCACCACGACGGAAACCGCCGTGGAGATCGCGACCGCGATCATCGAGGAGAACGTGATAATCGAGACATGCAGCACACTTACCGTCACGAACAGGCCGCATATTGATTATAAACATCGCTGTGACGACTACTATGACTCCTAGAGCGGAGACTAAGAAATCTGACAACTTTATTATAAAATAAAATAATTATTGTTTTGGTGGCGGCTGGTATCAGTCGTGATAATGACTAGCTGGCTTGGACATAGCAGGGGAGCATTTTTCACGTCGGCCATGTCTCCTACGAATTAGAAGGTCGCAAAAACAGGTGTAAAAGAGCGCCAATTTTTATCTGGGGTTGTCTTCAGTAGACATGATGATTTACACGATGGCGATAATTGTGGATCGAGGCACCCGAGCTAAGCAAACCGGTTTCCCAGTTTGTGGCTACTGGGGGACACATTTTTGCCACTGGTAAAAATATATATAAATAAAAATATTAAATCTATATCTAAGTGTATTTATGTGTTATTTTCTTTATAACTTTCGAATCGGTAGCGATTTCAGTTAAAATAATTTAGCGTTTTATGTCTGTCAAATTGTTACTCACTCAAACTGAGCTTTCGGCTAACATTTGCATCGTGTCAGCTGCTTGAATACTTGGAAAACCTTATTGTAGGAACTCACCAAGAAGAGCTCATTCAGACAGTTACAACTTAACTAAATCAAAAAAATTACCCGCTCAAGCGTAACTAGAAAAATGTCTTCTGCAGGATTTTGGATCGTGCGAGAAACGGGCGCAAAAACTTAATGTGGCAGAATGTTTTATTAGCGGCACTTGAGCGCCGTGACTTTCTTTTCCCAGCCTACCTTCGCCGACTACACGTTTAATGTTTACCCATTTCAAGTATGCCCTAAATGTAGCATTGTGTTAAGGTAGACGATTTGTCCCGTGTGTGAGAACACTGTATACACGTTCAATACGCCTCGCCATTTGTGGTGCAATATTACAATTGCTTTTTAAGCAAACTGATTCAAAACAAACAACAGGGAAATTTAGCTGCCCGCTAAACATATGTGCATAGTCGGTAGACCTCAGAAACTGTATCAATTGGTTCTAAAACTCGCTACCTTCACTCACCCTGTTTCATTATTACCTCTGAATTTTCGTGATTAGTTAACTTCCGTCATGAAGTGTTATGTGGCAAGCTATTCTTATTCTTAAGTGTTCCATTGCGCTAGTTAACATCTAGCTCACTGCAGAAACATCGCACGTACCATACTGTCCCAAGTATATGAAAACAGCTACAGACAAGAGCTACACGACGGTTTGTATCGGCGAACGCGTCGTCTATTGAACCATTGTCTATGACAATGAGTGTTCCGAGACATAACCACGATGTTCGAAAGTTTCAGACTATGTAAAAGATGCTTAATTTAGGTTTGTTAGAGTGAAACCAAGTTCACACAAATATAAGAGAACGTAGATTAGATTACGCCAAAGAAAAAAATCTATTTTCTCACGTAAGGCTAAACCTATGCCGTCCGAGTCTGGTATGACTTAAGTCTGCCAGAGCGCACATGTGAGTCCATTTTGGTATGTTTTATTTGCTAAGATCGAATCCAGAGAGTGAGAGGTTGGTCTGAACAAATGTTCACCCATACACAACATGCGTTCATAAAACAGACGTGTTTTGTACCCGTATACGCGTCCTAAGTTAAAAAGGACGGCAGTGTTCCACACATACACACATATACATAGGTTGTTGAATGGATTAACGACCTATAGCTGAAAATGACTGATTCGTTAATACATCGCAATAAAAACTTATAAACGTCAACGTACTCTTGTCACATATCGATATTATTAAATTTCTTAGCTATGATAATATTATATTAATTGCCAAATCAACAATACTAGTTACCGTCTGTTGTTTCGTTCTTTATTACTAGCGTCCACTGAAACACTCATGTTCTTCCTTTCGAAAAATATTCGCATACCATTTTTAATATATAGGTGCCTGTGTTTATATAGTAGCATATATGTTTAAAAAACGTACTTGATTGAGTTTTTTCACGAAGATTTTGTGCACTCGAGTTATCTTTCTAATTTGTTTTTTTTAGCTACGTCTCAATGTTTCGTCTATACATGTCTATGCGTGAATCTTCAATTACCGAGCCTCGAACGTTATATGAAAATTCAATTATTATTCATGTGATAATATGTTTATATATATGTGTGTAATATATTTACTGTGCTTGTATTTTTAACATTATCTCTCCTTTCGTGTCGTACTTGCAATAAAATTTCAAATTTTGCTTGCCACAACGGCCAACAAACAAACGAATTATATAGAGTCCATCATTGTGGATTATTATAACAGCCCCGGAACCTTTCCACCCGACCGATTTCCTCATTTAAGGCCATTTGAAGGGCAGGACCCACGTTTGCCAGGGTAGTTATAATTGCATGCATCTTTTCTCTTTTTTCAGTCGCAGATTATTAGTTTAAGGTTTCTTATATTCGGTACGTTCAACTTTTACGTCGCCATTGACAAGTCGATAGACATAAACCACAACGTTACTACTCTGAATGTCCATTAAGGCAAAGGAGGGGGTAGCATCGCTTTCCAGGGCGGAATAGGTTCCTGTAGCTGAGCCAGGATTTATGAAGAAACGCCCGCCATGCTCATGCGTAGAAAATCGATGCGTATGGCCTGAAATTAGAATGTCTACATCCAGTTGATGTTGAGCCACAGCCAACGCTTCGATATCACCCCACGGGACGATCTGAAAGAGACCGCAAATTATTCTTTATATTGTGACACACTACAATAACACAGTTATGTTTTGGTTGGATTTTAGACAAAGAGGCTCATTGTTCGGTCGAAATACCTACCGCCGAAAGCTACAAACAATCAGTTAAAAGAAGGTCTTACCTGATGGCCGTGGCAGAGACCGATTCGAAATTGGCCTACGGTGACGACTTTCTGTTCAGGGTAATTAGAGTTCTCGTCGAAATCTCCACGGACGACGTGGACATCGGACGCTAACGTTTTTAGGTAATCGTATGATTCTTTTGTGCATAAATTACCTGTACGAATCATATGGACACATATGAACACATCTATATTGTTCTTTAAGGGAAAACAATTGGACCTCATAAATAGCATTTGTTAGGTCTTTTCAATTGTATTATAGTAGTTAAATCATCTTCCTTGTTGCCCGCATACTCAATGCGTAACTAGATTATATGATTTGTTTCGTGTTTGCTTGAACAGAAATTGAACAGAAAAACTTGCATTGTGATTATCCATCATTGGTGTATCCAAGACTTTTCCACGAAACTATACATGATTATGATACTTTAGCTCGTTCTTTGGTCTTCGAACACAAACCTGTGCAAAGGATGTGTTGTATCCGACCCGGTTGAAGCATTTTCTTGAACTGGGCAGGCAGGCTATGCGTCCGATGGGGAATATGCAGATCACCGAGAACTAGAACCAGCATCTTTCTAACTTTCCAATTTCAGCCGACTGGCTCTATACAGTAGGATATCCACGGACGCACCTTTTTCTGATCCGTCAGTCAGATCTAGACAGATCTCAGCGCATAGCACCTTTCTCTTTCACGGTTGCAGAGAACCGAATGCATTGGCCGTCGCTTGTCACTGCAGAGACGCCCTATTGATAACTCCGTCACTGAACGCAGCTGGTAGCGCAAACTGGATAAGTTCGAATCCAACAATGGCCGCTTTATGGACGTTATAACATAGGAGTAAGCACAAGTACCTTTGAGCTTTGAAAAATCGACTGTGGGAAACATCTTCTTCGTTATTATCGTTAAATACTGTTTTGTTGTAAATACTTACTGTTCACTCTTATGAAATGGAACTTATTCTCAAGTCATGTGTCCACTTCAAGTTCACTTTTATGCCTCAACCTTGAAACGACGACTACTACCGGCTGTTGACTTCAACACGAGCAGACGACATGTGTTTTTATTGGGTTTTCGCTCACTCGTTGATCACTTGGGTTCAGTTGTTGACTTCGTTTTTGGGCTGTCCGTGTTTAAGTATAGTGCGGGTTTCGTTAATGTGCGGTTTATAAGTGGCTATGGCTTCACAGTCCAGACGAGCTGGCCCAGGCGGCCTGTTGGAAACAGGTTCAGCTCGAATCGAATACGTCCAAGTTGATGGACTCGTAGCGATGAAGATCGCCCGGCACAGCCACGAGGAAGCTGGCGGCCTTATGGATTTCGCTCAGGGAGTCCTACTAGGCATGGTCGATGGTCGCGGAGTCGAAGTGACCAACTGTTTCCCCTATCCGCGACATGGCGACGAAGAGGTAAGCTGCCCGAACGGTTCCATGTGTTTGTTGTGTACAAAAACGTCAAACTGAAATTTAGTTGTCTTGGTTTCTTAGATGATGAAGTCCGCCGCCATTAAATGTCATGGTAACTAACTAACGTTCGAAATGACGTGGCGTCATAATTGGTTTTAAGAACGTTTTATTATAAAATTTTTCTGATTTGCTAACTTTTGTGGTAAATAAAATATGAAGCTATTTTGGGCGCATTCGTTTCAATGTTATATTAAGATATTTCAAATTATATTAAGAATTTCTAAATTCTAGCATATGGCGCAAGCTACGGGTTATCTCTGGCTGTTAAGTAACTCACATAAATCATATCGACGCCCCGACCCAGTAATGCAAGATAGATGTACCTATTAGTTTTTTGTTAATTTTCCATAAACGTTTAGTAAACATCAGTAGCTCATTCATATGTGTGTATTGCTTTGCTCTCTCCTCTGTCTAGGTATAAAGCAAGATGTGGTCATTACGTATGCATGTGGGTGGAGTTCAGTGGATTAATTAGGCTTTAGTAGATTTATATCTTAGTAATAAACAAATATTGTATTGTAGAACTCGCAATCGTCTTAAATGTGCTGCTGACCACCTGTCTGGGTCTGGTACTAAAAACAGCAGAGAAACGCTAGTTCGAGTCGTATAGATCAACATCCGCAAGCGAATGGATGATTTTTAAAATAGAACTAGCTAGACTCGTTCTGGTATTAGATATTGGAAAGATCGGATAGAATTTTGCTGATGTATATAACAATATCTTTTGTTGGTCGGTTTTCAGGAATACGAGGAGTCTGAGTACCAGATGGAAATGCTGCGTCAGATGCGAGCCGTGAACATTGACCATCTTACTGTCGGCTGGTATCAGGTGAATGATTATCTCAATATACGACGACTAAACTGTTAAGCCAATTTCTTAGTCAACACTTAATAAACCGACGAACACATGCAATATTTCAATACTCTGTTTTACTTGATTAGATTCAGATTTTGCGAGAGAGTGCGAAACTTCGTCATAACTAACTGAAATCTATTTGTTTTTATGTTCAGGCATCACCGTTCGGGTCGTTTTTCACTCGCCCACTATTGGAATCTCAGTTCAGTTATCAGGAGAATATCGAGGAATCTATCTTGCTCGTGTACGATCCGATAAAGGCTCAACGCGGTTTCTTCTCATTGAGGGCGTTCCGTCTCACCGAGGCGGCCTTCGCTCTCTGCCGTGACGGCGAGTACACGTTAGATTCCTTTAAGAACTGCAAGTGTTCATATTCAGATCTTTTCGAAGAGATTCCCGTACGAATCCGAAATTCACACTTAATCAACCTTCTGCAGTGCGAATTGGAAGAGCTGGTTCCGAGTCATGCGCCTGCCGGCAAACAGTTTCTCGACATGTCAACAGCATTTTCGCTTGAGCGCCAACTGCAAGCTACCATGGAGTGCGTTGACAACCTTAATCAAGAAACTAACAAGCTGCTAAATCACCAGCGACAGGTGCGTATTGCGTTTCGTTAAGCAAAAAGCCACGTACGAAAAACAGAAACGTCTTGTCGTTCCTTTCATAGCTGTCCCGCCGCGTCGACTGTTGGGATTCCCCTCAATGAAAAATACCCGCATTTGTTTCCCGAATCTTCCATTCAAGATCACTGGCCCACTTTGCCTTATTGTCTACCTTCTTTGTAGGTGATGAGACAGCAGCAACAGAAAACATTGGCGCTAGCGAAGCGCGCACAGGAGAATGCCATGCGAAAGCAGCGGAACGAGCCTCCGCTACCAGACGATGACATCCACAAACAATATAAGCCCATCCTTGCGCCAGCCCGTTTGGATTCCGTTCTTCTCGCTGGACAGGTAACAAACACATTGCGATCCAGTGGTACGAACTTTGTTCTGCTTAGATAAGGTGCCCAGTCTTGCACGTAGGTCGCTTTGTTATTACCGTCGTTGTACAAGCTTGTTTCATTCCACTTTATCCTGGACCTAACGGCTGTACACCCTCCGTACGTTCAGACAACTAAGAGCTTTGCTTACTCTTTATTACTTTAAGGAAGGAAATTGTAGTCAAAACATGAAATTGCAATCCGAACGTATTCAACAAATTTCGTTCTCTCATGGCTGTTTGTTAGTTCCTACTAGCAGTGCTTTAATTCGACTGTACATTCTGTGCTTGCCTGCAGGTCGAAGCCCACTGTAACCAGATGGCTAAGTTCTCCACACAAAATCTCGCAAAACTATTCATGTCAGACGCTCTTCAGAAGAAGGACCAATAATATAAGGCGTTGGCTGCTTTTGAAATAGAGTCTGCGTGCGACTAAGACTGATCGAAATGTGTCGTATCAGTTTCAATATATAAAATAAATAATTTGCATATTCAACCTATGCAACATTGGCTGGCATCATGACTTTTACACCACTCAACCATAATAACATACAGGTTGACTTCTGCTATGGTCACGTATTCAACTGTCCTCTACGGCGGCGCTGAACTAACTATGATCTGATCAAACATGGTTAAATTTCATCTGATTCTTCATATAGATAGAAAAATTCAACCAAGTCGTGACTCAATCCTGTTTTGGCCATATCCTGTATACTTGAAATATGGTTCCATTTGAAGAGATGTGGACTTTACCATGGAGTGAAATCGCTCAAATCAATTATATCATTTCCCTTTTACTTAAGTCGTTTATTTTTGTACTTGCCTATACAGTCGCTGAAGAAAGCTATTCATGTGTCATATTGCGTGCAACTTCATAAACCACATTGTCATACACATATCTACATATAGATTTAGCGTTTGTATAGGCATAGTGGGATAAATTTTACGAACCTTATATCTGAAATAGGGAATTAAACTACTAAATTATTGTTTCGAGTAATTGACCAATAGTAAAGTTACCTTGATTCCTTTCTTGGCCGTCAGATTGAAATGAATACCATCGCTATATATATATATATATATATAATGAGAGCTACGTTGAATACGATTCCATACCGTTATAGGAACATAACGTAATAGGCGTAACCGCTTTGGTGGGCTTGTTATTCAGCTAATGAAGCAAAAGATCAAACTTTTGCCTATGTTAGCTCATTTATTGTTTTATTCGAAAAGTATATATTTACAATTAAATATAGATAGGCACGTCTCTAACGAACGACCTTACTGATCGATCTCGGGTTGGCGATGCGGAAAACATTTGGCTCGTTGTCGGTTCGTACAGTGTATCTATAATAAAAATAATTGTTTCAGCAATTGCCATCCATTTGTTTCTATCTTTGTTACGTTGCATACACGAATGTGACACTCATTCTAAGTTATTCCGGCTTGCCATGGGAGTTTTTAGCTCAGGGCCATTATTTCCCTTCGTGTCATTGCTTTAGATATGAATAGCTCCATAAGAAACTATAAAATATTAGTTAATCTCGACTCTCATATAATATGGTCTCTCAGCTAGCATGATTAGGGCCTGTTAACTCGACATTTCTGTATTGCACCTATACATCAATATCAGTGAAGTATCTGTTTCCGGATGTGTGATACGGTATACTGTCAGCATATCCATGCTTAGCTGCTTCGTGCGGTACCCGAAGGTCACCAGAGGGCGTTAGTCGAAGGGCAACCACGAGAAACTGACTTCGGGAGCGACCTTCAGTAGCTAGTGGTCTTCCGTAACGGTCCTTGATAGAGGGTAAACCAACAAAACTCTTGAAGATTCGAGGCGTAAACTCTGACTTAAAATTTAGTTGAGAAACCACGAGTATCCATAGCCTAAATCGTTCAGGTATTCGTGTTGTATATTTAAAATGCTATGCCAAGAAATCAAGTTTGTATCTGAAGTAATCCGCAGGGTTTCCAGCATCTTTGTGTACCCTTAAGGTAAATGGTCAAAATCGATAGCGCTTGCTCTCATATCGGCGAAGTGCCTCGTAGAGGGTTCTAGGGTTCAGTCAAAAATCATCTTGGGTTAAAACACAACTGGTTAAAGGGAGTATGTATATGACGCTGGAACCTGAACGTACCTACAGCAACTTATCGGACTATAGCGCAATGTTTATGCCATTGCAATACATTTCACGTAGAATTCCTGTCGTTTTATAAGCGACTTTTGAGAGACATTTTCCCATATCCGCACAGATATAATTTCGTAATTACGCCTGTTACTCAAGACATTCACAGAAACAATTCGTGTAAATACAAGATATCCGGAAGACTGCACAGTTTTATGTAGCAGTGTTATTTCTATTACTCTCATACCGTATCTTTATAGCTTCGTAAAAATGCGTGAACTCTGAACACATTCTATTCGGGTGGTATTATTCAGGACCAGATAGAAACTTGCTCCTTCTCAAATAAAATAGCGCTGTATGAAGCTTCTGTTCACCGGAGATATCCCATTGATGATGGTCTCGTTCGTTTTTCGCGTTTGGGATCAATCGCAGGACGGTATGGTTGTAGATTGTATTCATTCGAAAGCAGCAAACTTTCTGGATAAGCGTGGCCAAATAAATGTGCGTGCTGACCATCAACGAGAGGGGTCCGAAGACACCTATTAAGTTACCCAATCCACTAAAAACACGAACTGACCGTATCGACTTGAAATTGTAATGTTTGATTAGTATATAAAATCTATTTTCTTTTACCTAAAATAATGGCAGGAATATTGCGCCCGTGCAACCGATGGCTGTTTATGAAACCATACGCCAAACCGTAGCGTTGCATGTAGGGTGGTTTGAAGGCATCGTATGCTACGTAGAAGCTTGTCAGACATTTACTATCGTTTTCTCTTAGTAAATGCAAATTAATTATTTTCAAAAGTGCGCTTTTTAAGAGCTGTTCAAAGAAAAACCTCTACTTTTGTTTATAAAAAGGGATTGTTGTCAAAAGCTGTGTACAACACCGAATTAGTGAGTGCTTGATTTTGTCTCGTAACGGTAGAAACGGCACAATCTAAGCGAGAGCATGAAAATGGTAATATAATTGAAAGCAATTGTAATTAAATTGCTCGAGAAAATTCGTACGGCACATTTGCTAATTTTCAATAAATAGTTACCAATATATGGCTGGAGCCACATAAATCTTTCTTTGTAGGTCGTCATGAAGCAACTGAGTTTTTTAATGCAAATCTGATGCATGCTAAAATATAGTAGTAGCACTTTTTTCACTTTTCATCCTAAAACTGTTAAAGCACATTTATATGAGTAAAGCGACCCCATATTGGTAACCGCTGGTTGCATCTTTGTTGAAAGGTTCTTAAGAGCGCGCTAAACTCGAGTCATAAATATGACTGTCACTAGCACCAACGTCACCACAACCGCAAAAGCCCTGTAAAGGCTGTTCGCTGCCTCTTCTGATCGGTACGAACCGTACATAATTTGAAATGGCGCTTGGCGAAAGAGTTTCCGAGAACGACTTCGGTAAGGGTGACGAACAAGCGTATACCAAGCAACTGCTGACAGGTATCTTTCTACGCCTACGACGTTGACGCGCTTGTAACGTATATCGTGCAATGTTTGGACTTTTGTCTAATAAATGCTGCGCTACGTATACTTGATAAACAGTAATATAGGGCTAACTGCTTACAGAAGAATACTTCTCCGTCGATTGCAGCACTTCAGTGCTCAGCTAATAACGATTTAACGGGCGCGAGCAGGCAGTGAGCCAAAGTGAAAGCTGCCATGCAAGTTCCACGACGCATTAAAGTCGTATTGTACCGCAATGGGAGGCAACGTCCTTGGGGCTGTAACTAGCACTGAAGAAGACTAATGAGGATGTGTCTTTGTTCCTGATCCCAACGTTTCGCTATTTTACAACATATAGATAAACACAAGCGAAGCATCACCACGTACAAAACGTATTTGCTACTGAACATTCGCAGAGCTCATAAGGAAACCATTCAACGAAGCAGAGGATTTGTTCGGACAAAACACCTGTAAGAGCTGGTCGCAAAGAGTACGATATTTTCAAAAATAATATCAAACTTCATGTGAATGCAGACAAACGTATAACACTACCCGTATAAGCGATATGGAAAGAGACACTCTTTAGGCACCAGTCCGGTGGGTACGGACAACTTAACGTGCTTCCATAGACAAAATGACGCCTATGATCTATGGATATAGCGCATCATATTGGACATCTTTCAGTCGGCTGGAGACATGCATCCAATAGCTCTTGCAAATGAAGACCGGTTCCAGGGGTAACATAAGTGGTTTGCCTAATCGGAAAAATAGGCTGATGTACTATGCTTTCTATAGGTAAATAAGCGCAATTTGACGTCTGTTTTTCTACACTCCTTTTGGTTTTTTTCGTTTCTTTAAACACTCTTATTGCATTTGAGGTAAAGCGACCAGAAATCACCATTGACGAGAATGAGTTGGCTGATGATACGATATAGCTAGGCACAAAAATAAAACAGTGGAAAATTACGAATGCTTAACAGGAGACAAACTATCTGTTTACCTGTTGTCGATAGGTGAGATCCGTCATAAATAAAAATTAACAAAAAGTATCTGTATAACTCCTGTATAACAGGTTTTAGTCGACGAGAAAAATCGAGACTCCACAAAGAAACCAACTTGTTCACATTAGTCGCCGGAACTAAAGAAAAGCTTGTGATAGGTGTACAAATCGACGTAGCCCTATACACATACCTTTCTCAAAAAGTAACTTATAAATCTCTAACCAATCAATTTTTTTTAGTTCTTATCAATTATTCTACAAGTAGAGTATCCCTAGTACGTCCACATATCGTGTAACCCCTAATAACAGCACAAATTGTGCACTACTTATGGCTGTACTAATCTTCATTTATGGCAGGTTTTTTGTCACTACAAACGAAGTGCTAAAGAGTACCTCTTCTTACAGGCGTGAAAATATCACTAAGCACACCAACTATTATTAGCAGCGTTCAAACGTTAATTTGACCTAAGAAATTTTGACCGTCAAAGTAGTCGTTCGTGGATGGAACAATGCAGAGTGGCCCTAGAGTGTGCCAATTATAAAATGTACCCGGCAGCCACATATAGCGAATTTTTCATTTTCCTTGATCTTTATTTATGGCGACGAAGTGCCCTCCACAAACTTTCATTTTACGCTGATCTCTAGCGAGCGAGTTACCCTTGACCATCAAATTCAAGCCGACTGATTCAGTAACTTTCGAATGTAGACCTTGGCTATTTAATATGACTACTTATTGTCAATTTTCTCTAATTCAAGCATGCATTTATAGACGGTTAGTCCTATGTTTTTCCTACATGTTTACATAGATGCCTACTCTACTCACTGGAGTTAATAACGCTAATAACAGGCTATACGTTAAAACAGTAACGATAGCATGAGACAGGTATTATATAAACTATTCTATCTTCCGCTTAAATAATACTCGACCTTTCTAGGCTGTATTGCAATTAGAGGGTAGTCCCCTAAAAAACTCGTACAAAGGCTGTTTAATAAAATATAGATGCGGTACCGTCAGAAGAAGGTGGGCATAGTTTTGTAGAAAAAAAAAAAGCGTACGTCGCTAGCTGTGTATTACTTTTCAATCTACGCAATATAAATATAAACGTTTCTAGGCAAAAAGCGTAGTCTTAAATGCAATTTGTTTAATAATTATAGGAATAGTTGCGCCGGTTGCTCCATCATATTACTACTGTCAAATGTAAAGTGACTAAATACGCGGCTGTCAAGTTTTGTCGTTAAACAAACGTTCACGTTTATAAGCCTTTTAATGGATTCAAGTAAATATATATTATGGTATAAGCCTACTACTACTGCGTATTGGCATTAGACATCAAGCATTAGAATAGCGCACAAATAGTAATACAAAGTAAGCCACGAATATTAAAGACTGCAGATCATGTTGTATTGATTGCATCACAGTTTATAATTCTGGTTACTATGGAAAATAAAACTGTGGCTTAAACAATCTATCGTGTAAAAAAATAATAATTTCTTGTGTACACTCTGATGATCCCAAGCTTTTTTGCACCCAAATCGGCTTCAGCAAAATGGTCTCTTCCGCATAAACAATAACATAATTACGTTACTAAAGATAATTCTGGTGAGCTGCTAGCTCCAGGCAAGGTGACGTTGAATGAGGCCCCAAATCACGTAACGTAACTTCGTTTGTCTTCTTTTTTGTAAAGGTACTCAAAAAGCAAAGTGTACCATAATAATCGACGACGGTGAAAAGACTTATCGAAAGTATCCGTGCCATTATGTTAGAGATAAGGCCCGATACAGGCGAAAAAATAGCTAAAAACTGGATGAATCAAAGGACTGCCATGAAGTTGGCCAAAAAAGTCCACCTTATAGATGATATATTTAAGTGAAATTTCAAATTTTTTCAAGTTTTTATAATGAAGAAAGGTTTATGTAAAGATATTGTTTTTCTGTTATGGTTAGTTTGGGGTTCCTTAATGCCAGCTTGCCGTCCTACACTTTTCGATGAAAGAATGATGTGCGCAGGCTGCGACAATGATACCGCCTGGGTATTTTTATTTCAGTCAAGGCCAAACAAAGTATCACGTGAAGTTCTTGAGCAGTTTTAATTAATAGGCTGTAATAAGCACACCTTCATTCGCCAGTTCGCAAATTTCAATAAGTTTGTATTTAAATGTTAGCTTTATTTGTAGAACTGCCTCACCACCTAGTTTTACCATCACGACCCTATGATATTGTATTTGGCCTTCCGTGTTACCCCATTATGTCATTTTCATTGTGAACTTTTTGTACAGCTTATTCATTGAATTTAAACAAGAAATAGTAATCCCGCAAGCTGCGTCGTTATTACAATAACGCGTACAACCCAATAAGTATTTTATAAATACATAGATTGAACACTTGTTTCAACTGATTCGTGAACCAGCAGCCCTTTGTCTATCTAACTTTGGTATTAGCGTGTTTTGGGTCAAATGCAGAAGTAATAGCTGACTGTACATGTCCATACACATCCTCGTAAACTATCATCATTTTTAACACCACTTTTGACGGGCATCTTTCTTAATTTGAAAAAATATGAAACGTACTGATGGAGATATATGTTATCAGGCAATGCACCCACAACCAATCATTTACATGCAAAACATACTTATATTACAACACGCATATAAGATGCCTGTGCCCGCTCGCACGCTCATAAATTGAGCATTGTCTCTGAATTTACATATCAGGTATACCGGGCATGAAAAACTTTGAGGCGTACGCTTCAACTTCCTGCTGTTTAGCGAGAATTGTCGATTTGAACGGCTCCTGATTAAACGTATCCTTGAGCAGGGTTCCGTTGTTGGCAGTCTTAATTTCTAACGCGATTGTGATCCCTTCGTCGATGAATTTGGCAACCTGCTTCATATCGTTGTCCTTCAAACCGCGGGTGGTGAGGGCAGGAGTGCCAAGTCGCACACCTCCAGGGTTGAGGGCGGATTTGTCGCCCGGCACTGTATTCTTGTTGCAGGCGATCGAGATAAGCTCGAGGATTCGCTCGGCGTTTGCGCCATTTAAGCCTTTAGGGCGGAGATCAACCCATACAATGTGATTATCCGTCCCACCTGTGACAACTTTGTAACCTCGAGCTACAAGCTCCTTAGCGAGTGTTCGAGCGTTTGACACCACTTGCCGCTGGTAGTCGTAGAACTCGGGTCTCGCCGCCAGTTTAAGAGCCACTGCTACACCAGCAATCACGTTGTTGTGAGGACCGCCCTGGAGTCCGGGGAAGACTGTCTGTTTGACGCGTTCCTCCAAATCATACATTATGCTTTTTCCTTTGGCGTCAGTGCTACGAATACCCTTGCGGTAGAAGATTATGCCGGAGCGTGGCCCACGAAGGGTTTTGTGTGTCGTCGACGTAACGATATCGCAGTACTCGAAGGGGCTGGGAGCCATCTTGGCAGCGACTAAACCGCTGACGTGAGCCATATCGGCCATTAGGTATGCGCCGACAGAGTTAGCAATTTTACGGAAACGTCTGGAAGGTTGATATCGAAATCCAATAGTCAAGTGGTTTATTGTATAAAACTTAAAGGACGTCTGTGTTTTAAATAACATGAACCCCCCGATGAATGGTGTTTTAATTCATAAAAAATAGCCTTAATTGCAGTTCTAAAATCGGGAATTCAACAAATAGACAATGACATCTTTACTAACTTTTTCCTTTGGTTAGGTATATTTCTTGTTGTTTCCATCAAATCTCAATTTGTCGGCAAAGACTTACTCATAATCAAGATGACGGGGGTAGCAAGAGATGCCGGCAATAATAAGTCTTGGTTTAAAAAGATTAGCGGTCTTCGCGAGCATGTCATAATCGATTAAACCAGTGGTGGGATCCGACTTGTACGGCATTGACTCGAAAAAGATAGACGTGGCTGAGATCTTTTTTTTTACGGTGAAAAATCCATGGGTCAAGTGACCACCGTCAGGCAAATCCAAACCCATGATTCTACCGTGCGGTTCTACAACGGCAGCGTAAACCTGATCACAAATTACTGTGAGTGAATATTTGATCCTATTTTTCAGCAGTAGTCGTTGGGTTTTTTACACGCGTATTCACAGCATATCAATCGCGAGGGTTTTCCATCCCTTTCATAATAATAATAGTAGTTCAATCAATCATCATGACATATACAATAATCCAGATTACACTACATTAAGAAAATACGTTACGACGGTAAAATTCGGAATCGTATTTATCCCTTTTATTGTTACCTCAAAATTGGCAGGTGATCCGGAATATGGTTGGACATTGACCCCCCACTCAGCAGGGTCTAATCCGTAAACCTCAAGAGCTCTTTTCTGACAAAGCAATTCAATTTCATCAATATACTCGTTGCCTCCGTAGTAACGTTGGCCTGGATATCCTGCAATACCGCTCGGAATGAGAGAAAACACGAAAGTTTAAGTAGTAGTAGTATTTACTCACAAGCATTTATCATATTTAAAATCATCTAGATATAGTAAACAACCGTTTTTTTTTAAAGTACGTTCTTTATGTGACATAATAATAATAACGTAAATCTAAGAACTTTGACCTCCACACTGAATGCATGAACTCAGTTATATTATTTGTGAACGTTTTAACCCACTAGAATTCTGCGACAACGTTAACTTGCCCCGAGGCAGACTTTATGTTGGGTGCCTTCGAATGTAGGACTATTTTCGAAAGCTCACCTTCCGAATATTTGTTAGTGAGGCAACTGCCTAGGCACTGTATAACAGCAAGCGAGGTGAAGTTCTCCGAAGCGATCATTTCCAGCCCACGCAATTGACGACTCTTCTCTTTTTTAATGAGATCGTCGATCTATTGGATCGGAAAGAAGAACCAAAAAATCGACCATAATCAGTAATTCAAACAATTGATCTTGCTAAAACTAATTCATTTCGAGCTACGCAGTCCAAGAATTATAGAAACAACACATTAGCTAGTTCAAATCATGTTTTCGAAATATATAAGTAGAGCTCAATTAGCACGGGCGTAACTGGTTACTCCTATGAGAAATTTACTTGCAGCTTCACGCAAAAGCTTTAGTAGTCGGGTATCAACTACATGTCAGAATCAAGTGATTATAATCCGCTCTAAAAATACAGCCACAGCTCACCTCAGGATCGACTTTGTCTAGTTGATCAATCAGCTGAGAAGACATGTTTCTACTACCTGTAAGCGAACAAATTGGTGATTTAAACCGTTATTTTTTCTTGTTAACTTTAATTCAATCTGATAACTGGTAGTCCAAACAATAAAGAAAATAAATTAGTCCGATTAATTTTTCACAAAAAAAATGTTGTTTTCGTAAACCTTAATATTTCCAGGTTTTTCCCAGTTCATTTTTACATTGTATCTTTTATTTTTTATATACGAGTTTTCATTCAAACGAGTTACACACGTTTACGTACGCACGAGTTGTCATTATTTAAGCATGTTTCTTGTTTGATGTTTGGGTCGGTAGAACGGAGGACGCGCTTTAACCGTAACGTATTCGGGCCTTGTCTTCTAGACCTTGGACAATGTAAATAATTGCGCGGTTCGTTTCGCGTTGTGGCTAGAGGGGAACAACACGAAGGTCCAGTTTTTCTTCAAATTATTTAACTAAAAACTAGAAATCTATACTACACCGCACGTCCTTAAACAATGTGTGTAATCGTTCTAAACGAATCTATGATCACTAATCGTTGGGCAATGTACCATTTAAATGCTACTTGATTGTTATACTGGTTGCTATGTGCTAGTATAGTTATTTCTCCTAGAAGATTGGTGTTCCACTTCCAGAAAACACTGATGAATACTCTTATAACCTTCCTAAAGCACATCTTGTCTTCACATAGTCCCAAGGAAGCATTGTCAGTTACTGAGAAGAAAAGTTTGACTACCACATGCGCCTGTTTCGCTGATTGAAATTCAATTATAACAGCCATCTGTTAATTGGGATCAGTTTCCTTTTGCAGGATAGTTCGCACGAGCAATTCTTGGTTATGGTGAGAACTATAACAAAATCCTTCAGGTTCTCATTAAAGCCTAAAATTCACTCACTGTACAATGTTCAACTCGACCCGAATTCAGGTCGACAGATGCCTGTCACTTACCGCAAAGAAAGCGAAGTCACAGAAACGATTGCCATTTGCCTATAAATTCTAAACTAAAGCTAAGTAAAGATTACGAGACTACGAAATCTATACGAAACATAAATGTCCAAAATCAGAAAGTGGAGAACATAATCGTAGGCCTCTCGGTAATTACCACTAATGATCGAAATCCGGTTTAGGCCCGCCGGACATCCCAGAGCTCGGGTCAGACTGATTGTTGAATTTAGTGAGCGAGTGAATACGGCCATCTTTTTTTGTCTCCGCTCTTTCCTCACCCAAATACAAGCACTAATTAACTTGAATGTGCTGAAAATAATACACAACAGATGCGTACAGCTTTTTTTCTGCTAGGAGCGGAGGATGCGGAGTATCCGGAAGGATAATGACGCAACAATATCTTAGCCAAGGCAAAACGCTAATCCAACAAAAGACCCCAATCAAATCCGCCCCCGCTAGCTTAGCGATCGACTAAGGTGTAGCAGATCACTCTAAGCACGTTCCTATAATAATAATAATAATAATAATAATTAACTTTCTGGAACCATATAAACCTTAAAATGGCGTTATTACGTTGTCCTCATTAAACCAACCAATTTAGTGAACGTTCCTTGACCCACTGAAACCTAGACACTGTTTGATTCTATCCAATGATATTCTTTCTATCTACATACAATATACCACTAGTATAAACACCAGCGGTCCAAGCGCACATAGGTTACACATTGAGGTCTTACTTTTGTGTATGATTAGGTCACAATCGAAGAGCAATATTGTTGGTTGGCTTCTTTGTTACAACAAAGACAAGCCGGTTCTGGACGGTCAAACAGAGGGCATCTGTCGTCAAAGTTATCGTGGCTATAGTTCGACGCGGATAGATGCATGATTTTGAGATGCGGTAGTAGGCAATCAGGATGGGAGAGTCGGCGTTGATAATATCAGTAATCAGCGTATCTAAAAGATAAGTTGATATGATTACCAGCAAAGAGTGATGAACTAATTCGCTGTATGTGATAAGCAGCGAAGGTGTGGCAAAGGTCGTCAGGACGATAAATCGTTGTCGAGAGGATAATCGCTATCTCATCTAGATACGCTAAGACTGCGAGTTGACATCGAGGACGATAATCGACGAGAATGAAGAAAACGATCACGCGAATCGCCTTGTATATTAGGTTACAATGGCGGACGCTGCAAGGTTGAAGCAGAACAAGATAAACGTACTCCACAGCAACTACGATGTTCGCAATGGCGCTAATTGCCACCGGTGCTAACCGCTGTATATCGTCGAGACAGTAAAGGGAATGTTTAAGCGTTTCTAAAATGATGCCCCTCAAAAAGAATACACCGCTGTCAGGGCGGCGATAGACACCCTCTCCCCTAGCGGTATCCATAGTTTTATTGCAGTTCATGGCCTAAGTCCAGGCTAAACGCACAATAATTGGAACGTTGTGCTAATTCCCAGGCTGCTTAGAATATACAAAACGTCGCTTGATCTGAGGTCTGATTCACATAGGTATATAAAAAAACATGCGTATAAATTATATACAATCAAAGATTCTTAGAGAGCACGTACTATCGAGCACTGTCTATAAATATAAAAAGAAGAAGGATTCGATTTATTTGAAAAATAATTAAGCATATTTATCATACAACCTAAATAGTTCTTATCATAATGGCACTGAAAGCTCATACGGCCCACTATTCTATGTGGATGTTTACATGGAGCTCAAACGTATTCATAGAAACTGGCACACAACAAATTTTATATAGTCTGAACGTGATCGCGACGAATAATAGCTTTCGTTAATGTTGACTTCGTTCGAAAAATGTATTTTTTATTGAAATATAATCCGGACCATATTTTAATTTGGCTTCTTAAATTACTTATATTTACCGTTAATAAGATAATAGTACCTCTATTAATGATTTGAATAGGTGCAGGAAAATTACACACAAAAGTTACAAAAAGATAAACCATATCTGTTATTTTTTCCTCTGCAAACCCATTATATCAAACTATCATTTCGATACTGATTTCTAGTGAAATGTGTGTCCGCACACAGATAACGGTGTGCCGAGGGGTCGATTTTGGACTAATGGTAAGAATCATCACCATGAAAATAATGACCAAGAAGGTTTGGCATATTTTCTATTAAATAAAATCGTGTATACACACCACTGGTACCCTTTCTGCAACATTCAACTAACCTTGTAACTTCAAGTTCTCTTTCGGTCTAAGATAAATCACCTGCAATTAAGACGAAAAAAAATTTAGATTTGGTACGCTATCCTTCACTTAGTTTTAAAACTTTCGGTGCTATATGAACGAAGTCCGTAAGTACGGTGATTGATGCCTAGACGGAAATTAGCTATACTGTTCATACCCAAGGTCAGGGACGGAGTGCTACACGTTGCATGCAGTGTACTAATTCGAACATCCCTATTAATTTATTTTTCATTAAATCAGCTGGAAAATTGAAGAAGATGACTAAAAGATGCGTACACGAAATGAAAATCTGCACAAATATTGCTGGTTTACAGTTTTGATATTTCTAGAAAAGGGAACAAGACCAGAAAAGGTTTGTCTTTACTTTAGTTTTTAAATACATTGCGGGTCCAATAAACACCTAGAAATAAAGCATTTGTTCAGATTTCTGACTATTTGGTGAAGATCGATCAATTTGTTTTGTTTCTTCGAACTGAAGCCCTGACCAACTTTCCCCCATTGCATAAAGTTTTTTTTAAAGACACACAATATACTAAGAAGATCAAAATCGTTATCACCATGGCAATATTTTTTCCTTAGAACAAATTCAAGTTCCGGAAACGTTGAAGCATTCTTGGTTATCTTGTACATGACGTTCAAGCGGACGCTATTTTTTTTGTACCGAACTGTCATGATCAACTATATTTCGCACTAACACTATGATGATCATATGTTGACGCATCGGGTTGAAATACATTAAATATACCCATTAAAATGTGAGTTTTCATTTTCATTGGGCGCAAGCGGAAACAGCGCGAAAGGATATTGCCAAATTTCACATGATTTCGCCAAATACACCCGAGAATGAAGCGTTTGTACATGACACCACCTGAACAGATGAAGATCTTCAATCGAAACGTAATGTTCAGCGACTGCGACTATACTAACCGCTATTCGAGCTGATAAGCGAAGAAACTATTGTAATATATCGTAGGAAAAGTAAAACCGATATGTTAATATTCGCACCAGTGAGTTAGCGGCTCGAGTGGTGTGCAGTAACCGACACCTGCCATAAAGACTAAACGCAGCCCGGCAGGCTCGCATGGCGCCAAAGATTTCAAGGACAAAACAGCTGATTCGAACTGATTTGCCTACACCGCCGGCGTGATTCTTCTTGAAACTCGCGAACTTCTTTGAGCTATCTCCTTTTTTCATATATACCAATCTTCGATCAAATGTTATTTTTGTCTGATGACGCTAGTGACGGGAACGGCGAAGTTATAGCTATAGCTATCATTTGCACACTTCGTATGATCAGGTCACGCACTCATGTCGGTCTCGCTAGGCAGTTCCCTAACACAGGTATTTTTCTTTATCATGCTGTGGGGAAAGGGCAAATGAGAGTACATCCCGCTAAGCACAGCGGGATGGGGCTCTCATGGCGCTGTATGTACTTAGAACATAGAAAGGGAAATATTGAAGCAAATTACTTAAATAAATTTACTATAATTTAAAGCTTTCCATAGACAGAGTACCGACATAGAGACAACACTAGAAGTGAAAAGACAGGAAATACGGTTCCTAAACACAAATTGAATTTGACAACATACATCATCTGTTCCTTCGATTTAAATTAAGTGAAAAAATGGCGCCTGGATATCCTTGTAGTATAGAGTAATTTTATCAGAAAGCATTTATAGACCATAGCAAATAATTGATGAATAAGAAGAATAGCAGCAGCTAAACAAATTGAATACACTGTTTTATTGATAATTGTCTCAGTGCCTGCTAGCAATGTGGCATGTTGTGCCATTTTAGTCTACGTATGTTTTCGGGATTTAATCTTATTCGTAAATTACAAATACAGATTGATAGCCTATAATGGATAACATATTAGGAAAGCAATAACTAAACGCAGATTCCAAGTAACAGCAACAGCATCAAACTATGCCATAATCTAAACAACACAAGTAAAAATTGCAAAAGTTAAAGTGAGTTCACTTTTACTGTTCATTAAATGATTCAAAAAGAACCCTCGTGCATGGGTTCTGTTGAAGTAAGAGATTTTTTCAGAACAGTTAGTTACCTATAAAATGGCACATTTGTAAACAAGCATAAAAATAAAAATGGATATAATCCATATATTTACCAATATACCAAAATCCATGTAATTACCACTAGTAGAGAACACGCCGACAATTATGAGGTATGATAATCGCAACTTAAGTAGGTAGCTTTTGTTACCTACTACTACTATCGGTACAAACACACAATAAAAACTAGAATGCGACGGGTCTTTTTCATTTACAGTCTAATAAAATTTAATTTCGCGTAACGGGTGGCGCCATCGGTGGAAGCTTTAGAAAGCTTTATCTTTGACAGGTGACGACACAAGTCAGAAAGAGGGACGGCGGGGCACGGCCACTTTTCTACCTCCAGCCACGGGCAACAAACAGCGATACCAAGAACGAAGACCCTTCTGTCGATGTCGCTGTGTTGACGAGTGAGGAATATTCGTGATTGCGGACGACACGGCAAGACAACGAAGACGGAAAACTTACCGAAGTGAAAGTAAAAGTAGAGACTAGTTGGGAGGTAGGTCAGTTATGCTTAACATTTGTTCGATTTAAACATCCCATTTATTTTCCTAACCAGAATTATAATTTTCGTCGTGCTTATCTCGAAAATAAAACGTTGTCACTTAAATCACCGAGCTCTGTTAGCTTTAGGACAGCTCAGACAACTAGATAGGCTAAGCAAGTAATCAAATCTTGTTTTTTTCAATTAAATACTCGTGCTTGTAGAATTTGAGTAGAATTTGTTAAAGGGTTTAAAATATGGCTATATGCAGAAATTCGATTTACAGGGCTTACATCAAAATACTAAATAGCCCGAGGGGTTTGCTTAGTCGTTTTACTGCGTACCATACTATGGGGCGCTGAGGGCCACCGAAGGGTTCCTAACCTTTGCTAGTTTTGCTGTTGGTAACATCCTAATCAAGGCAACTTATTTATCGGTTGTGTACCGGCGTGATATACGTTGCTTGCTAATCATTGTTTGCGTACTTCATATGTTGATGTCTAAGTCCATAATAGTGTATTGTGACGCTTGTTGCTCTTAGTAGATGATTTATTTCTTAATTACTTCATTACCCCACCTGTTTTAGGCTACGTGCCGGCTCGAGGTTGGTATCGAATTATAGCGACGGTGCGAAAGGAGGCGGAATCACGCTGGACATATAATTGTGTATTTACAGTTCATCGGCCGCAACTCGCACAGATTCACACATGCATACATTCAAGCAGACATCGAATATCGCCATTGACTAAGTCTAGGTTCCTTGGCACACTCGAACGAAAAGTAGCCAAAGTAAAGAGGGGGATTCATTCGTTTAGGTTTACCTGGTTGGCATAGTCGGCACTAATAAGACGGACTACTCGCGACAAACTTGCAAATAAAGGATACTGACAGACCTGTTGAGTTGATGTTCGCTACGTTGAACACTGACATTGTAAACTGGCGATTCACAAAGGAAGTGCCTAAACCAATCGTCGCTTAAAGTAAACAGTTGGAGGCAGGGCCCAAGGTATAACGAGTGAAAAGCTACAGCGTAGAGTTCTTTAAAGATGTTTTATTTTTTTCGTTACGTGGTCGAATTAACTTTTACTTTTTAGAAATTAGTCCGGTCGAAGATAGTTTTCTTTTTCTGTCATAGCCTTACATAGGTACTAGTAAATACGAATATCCTTCGTTGAGTTAAACAGCGTCCAATGAGTATATCACAGGCATTCTTAGAAAAACGTAAGGGTTCGACACCAATAATAGTGATCCTTTTCTACTTGCTCAACATTTTACTTTTTATTTACAACGACAATTTTTATTATCTTTTACCCCAGATTTATTGATTTTCAATTACAATAAGAGTGTGAATTTTAACTGCCAGTTACCTGTGCTTGACAGCTTAAATCGAACGTTTAAGGTGTTCAGAAGGTATCTTAAGATAGCTCTTGGACCTTCTACCACCTCGTCGCTATTCGCTTGAATTTTGCAGAATTTTTTTTCGGCTGAATAGAATGAACTATTTTTTCCTTTAGCGAGCCACGTATTTTCAGTTGGTAAGCGCCAAGCTAACTAACTCAATCGATAATAATAAGAATAGTAATTTAAATGGGTTTTCTAGCATGTGCAAACGAGAAGAGAGCGATTCGGAGCCGTATTCGTCAAATTTTGCTATACTGTTTTGCCCGTAGGGATCGACCAAAAATTCAGCATAACGTTGGGTTTCATTCCTGCCAAGCGAACGAAGAATTCATAATAAATTTCTAAGAATTATCGGTGAAGAATATTAACGCGAGCCACCATGGTGCAGATTATGCTAACGCGTTACCTCATTCAGACTTAGGTTTTAACAAGTTATTGGATTAAACAAGGAAACTGGAAATTGCTACGAGGAGAAAAGCAAGCTTAATCGGTTTACAGTTTTTAAACGGACTGTCTCACAAACAAAAATGTTTGTCCCTTTTACTTGACTAGTTTGGTTATGAATAATGACACATCAATTATTTTTCTGTGACAAAACCCGAACCATCCTAGGACAAAACTTGCTTCGAAAATATAGCTAAACAAAAAAAAATACAGCTATATATTTGAGGGAAAAGAAAATGTAAACAATTAAAAATTACTTATTTAAATGAAAATTTAACCACCTGGCCAATAAGAGGCACATCTGAGGCTCTGCGGCACATGCATTTTTCTTTTGCCGTACCCTTGTAAAAAAACACATTTTTTTAAAAAGAAAAAAATTAACCAACATAGTGATTAATTTTTTCTTTTCAGGATTTGCCGAATCCTTCGCACGGTACTACTGCTCACAGGGTATTGTGTATGCCAAATTGGATCAGTAAGAAAGAATTGAAAAACATACATCTGTTTCTGATTGTATCAATATTTTATGTATCACGGATGGTTATTTAGAGGAGTAGAGTCCATTTTTAATTAAAGTTGAACCTTCTAGACACTAAAGAGCAATTTCTGGTATTTTTCTTACACAGCAGTACAATTCTAGCTTTAATAGATTTTACTTTAATAAATTTTAACTTTAAATAGAGTTGAAAATAACGTTTGAATTGTAGCTCAAAACCATAATGGATACTGTATAATGACACGCCGCTATTAGCCTCCTATTTGTGTTTATTAAAGATTACTCCTCTGGCCACATTCTGGAGCAAATCGAAGATTGACCCTGCCGTTGGTATAGAACATGCATCTCGGTGTGAAATTAATTTCATCCTTGTAGCAATGACTTATGTATCTAGGACGCCTCTGCTTTGTTGTATAAGTTTTCAGTTGGCTTTTATTAACTGTGTTGGAAACAGCTGTTTCAAGTTTTAGACCTTTCTTGATGTGAATTAGAAAACGATCCACATTCAATATCACATGTGGGATACTCGGCCATAATCACATTCAAAGCTTGCGACCTGATAATTCTCATGGAACAAACATTGCCATTTCTCGCTCTGGATAAAAGCAAACCCCCCCGTTAATCCTCGTTACTATCTACAACTGGCTAACGGCAATATTAGATAATGGTACCGCACATATCAACAGAATCTTGAATCTTTGGCATGATTCTTGTGTCTCGTGAATTAGACGATGCCCGTCGAGCGCAATTTCTAAGGCGTAGATGTTGTTGCATTGTGGACCTGTGCCAAAAAGCGTCCTTGTGTCAATTCGACGGCGACATTTTGCTTTGTCACTGTCCTGTCTCCTCCCCCCTTCCCACAAACGTGAGGCGGAATGGAAAGGGTAACCTTCAATCGTTGAGAGCTTAAAGGTTATTCAGTGCTTGCAATTTAAAAATTCTCGTCATTTACGTTCCCAGACCAGCACCAAGTTATGTATGTGAAGCGGGTTCAGTTGCGTTCGACGTCTTTACTGCTTATTGCATACTGCCAGCCCTAATATGAATTGAATATTGTGCTTGATTAAACATATATGTCGTGTCCTAATTTGTTTAGAGTGTTTGGTAACTGTTTTAGAACGATTTGTCGTGCTTAGGTAACTGTAGCCATATGTTAAAGCAGTCATCGGAATGCGCCAGTTCGCATATATTTTAACTGCAAATGGTTAAAAAACGCGGAAGAATCTTAAAAATGAAAGAACCGCTATACGCCAGTTACCATTCTGTGGCTTAGAATCTATCTGAATTTTATGCGACGTTTTAGACGTTTGCTTTGGACATTTATCGTTTATAGCCGCCAAACTGACGGGTCTCTAACATGTGCACACATGGATAGGATAGCTTGTTTACTTTGATTCTAATGATGCGATCGCTTTTCAACACAGAAAGACTTGCCATACTACCAAAGATACAGTATACGGTTTTGCCCTTTGAAAACGTTCGAGGCACTTGCTTTGTGTAAGGTTTGGATTTTAGATTATATACCTATTCTGTGCAAGGTCGTCCGTATGGTTCTGTTTGTCTCGTCTCAATGCTTCTACAACATATTGATAAATCCATACTACAATGTAATATTAGAAATCGTTGCATCCAATGTAATGTACAATACTATAAAGGTAATCTAGCTCCTACTGTTCTCCTTCGAATATAAAAATATCAATAATTATTCAAAAACTTACTCTGAGCGTCGTTTTTCTTCTGAAATATCAATTCCTAGATGGCGAGCTAATTCCAAGCGATTTGATTGCCTAAAAAGAAACTATAGCGTTTGCTTTTTACTTTTGTCAGATCGCGCGAAATAGAACTGTGCAAGCGGAATGATTATTGTGTAAAATTATTGAATGTTTAGGGAAACGCGCGCGGAACTTCATTGATTTTTTGCCAGTGTATCTTATTAGGTTGGAAAGAAAGCTTCGGCGCTCCGTTTACTGAGTAGAAAACATCACAAATTTTTTCTTATTCCCGTAGCAATAAGATACAATGTTGTGTATCTCTTGCCATTCATCACTACTTTCTCCTATCTATTCACCGAATGAGGTATGCTGTTTCGCCAGAAAGTACCGATGTCCGTCTCGAAAAGAGTTTTCCAATAACGTTATTAATCCTTGCCGAAAGTAAAGTAAGGAACCCCTTGGGAAATAGAAAATGTGAAAATCTATCGGTTCTGAAGTCCTGAGAGCATGTAAAGTGCAGCAAAACGTTCCATTCGAGGGCCAGGAAAGCAGCTTTAACGATGTTTGCTGTGTGTTGCCTTGCGTTATCATGGAGCAGAATTACCTGATCTTGTTTGCTCGGTCTCTTGTCTTGAAGAGTAGGGTTCCCTTGACTCAATTGATTCAAATTGATTTGATTGTACTTTGCCTTCTCTCCAATTTTATGCAAAAATCGATTGTTAAAATCGCTTCACGATTGATAGTGGACGAGATGCGAAGACACAGCGGTAAGCGGGATTCAGGAAATTCATAAGGTCCCCGAGATTCTAGTTAATGTGTAAACCCAAAGGACTTAAGGTGCTTAACGACGGTTGTGTCACTGCGGCCCATCTTTCCAACCAATTCCTGAGTTGTCTGTCAGTCGCCTTCCCTCAAAGGTATCTTCAAATGGTCGTCATCAAACTCGGATCGTCGGCCGGAGGAAGCATCCGTAAGGTTTTTAAACCCCTCTTGAGCAGTCATTTTACCTATAGCGTCGTCATTCTGTACAACGCGAATATCTCGGGGTGTTTCAACAATGTTTTAGTTTTAATAAAATGCGTCGAGCAGAAAATGCCGAACATGGCCTTTTTACTACCTAAAGAGCGGTTACGAACAATATATCAGAAGAAAACAACGAGTAAAAGAACATGACAAAGGAAAATTATTTGAAAAGCGCGAGAACTTTCTTTCCAGCTAAGTTCTAAGTATTTTCGGACGATGAACATATTTTATTTTAGGCCAGATGCAATGATACGATAAGAGGCCTACTAAATCAAACACTTTTCCTATTTTACAGAAGATGCTACGTTTCGACGGGCGTGTCGCCGTGGTGACGGGTGCCGGAAACGGTCTCGGTCGTGAGTACGCGCTTCTGCTTGCTTCTCGAGGTACGTTCAAACTCTGCTTCGAAACAGAGCCGTGAAAAAATCAGAATTAAAGCGATACAGAAAAAAAGATAAATTAAGAAAATCTAATTTGTACAAAGTATCAGGGATTCTAGGAGGAATTCACGCCAGGAGAAGATCCCGCTCTCAAGCCCATGAATCCGCATCGGCGCCTTCGCTTATTTAGTATATAGCCCACTGCAATCGGTAAAACTTGAAAGCGTTATGCATATTATACTTCTCTCTATGTAAAAACACCTGAGAACGATACGGACCGAATATTCGACGATGAAGTTCGAAATGCTGGTGCAACCGTAAAAGATTTCTCAGATTGATTTCGAGAAAATGAGATACTTGAATCTCATTCGAAAATCTGGCTGATTACAAATGAAATCAGATGAAACGGAGAATGACTTCGCTGTGAACAACATATCGACACCCAGCAACGAAAGAATTAATTAATTAAACGAAGTCCTATGAGTAAAATTTAATGCCATCAGTGGCTTCACTGCGTTGATGACTGCTGAGAAAACTGAAGTGGCATCCATTACCGAGGCCTGGTCAAACCATAGCATATTGTCTGCTAAGTTACCAAATAGCGGTAAACTGGACGTTTTTGTTTGGTTTGTAATCGCAAAATTCGTGGACAAGCTTTATCAATAAGAAGGCCGGCCGCATGCGGTCAACCATTCGGTATCAGTGCATGCTAACTTCTTAGTCGACTTGGTACTACACGGAAACCGCACGAGATTAATCTGTCCTCACTTCAGCTTAGCGAACTTAGCACACGGTTTGAAGTACAGGATGATAAGGATTGCCTAGGCAAGTTGATAACGGAGTCGTCCTTTTAGAGGTCTAAGGCCTGAATGTGGCATGAACTGAAACCACTGGAGCTGTCCTTTTTGAAACAGCAATAATGATCCAAACAACGATAACTTGTCTAAAGAGGATATGCTCCTAACTGTTCACAGTAAGAAGTGACTATAGCATTTAGTTCCCGATCCAGCGAGAAATGACAGTTTATTCGATGTTTTTTTTGTGAATGAAGAATCTATAGGCAATGTGGCAATCTGTCATCTCTGGGTGCCTACAGGCCATACATTAGTCATGTTGACGATTTCATGCAGCTTCGACCCTCAACATTTATCATTGCCATTTCTGAACCTAAAGAGAGGATTTAAGAAGTTAGTATGATTTATAACCTTCTAAGTAATGATTGAAATCGGTTTTCCTCAACTTGTCGTAATGTAACACGGTGTACAAATATCTTGTTTAGTCTGTCATATTTCTGCAAGAGTGTTTTTTTTCTTCAATTTTTCCTTCAATTTCAACCTGTAGTAGTAATACAATGGTTGACGTTTACATTAAACATATTATCCAGCAGCTGAGAACAAAACATAATAAGGAACTGCAGCTAATGCTTGCCTGGAGGAGGATCATTGAGAAAACCGCATCGTTCAAAGCGGAGAGTTATCTGCAACTTACGTATAGATTCAGCGGCGCTTTACAGCTAAATATATTAACTATATTAGAAGATTAGATCGAACATCGGCCACCGATAATGCTGAAAAGCGCATACCTTTTGTTTTTTGCTGTTTTTGTTGCCGGGTATCCATCGGCTAAACCAATTAGTATCATCGGAATCATAACAACACCGTTTACCGATATTCCAAACGAATTGCATATATGTGACGACGCTGTTATCTCACCAATTAATGTCAAACGCTATTTACAAAAACTAGTACGAAAAAATACAAACGTGCTATCCATAAACCCCGGTTTGTTGACATCTTTTTGAAGACGAAACAGTTCCCAACCTATTCTAGACATTCATCTTCAATCCATTTCAAGTTCGAAGTCTAACGACAAAAGCAACGCGTTCAGCAGACGCCCAGTTAATCTTAGGCTATCGCGCTGTATTGCATCTTGGCTATTGAAATCCTGTCTTTGACTATCGCCTAGGGGCAGACGTGGTCCAAACCAAGACTGTTGTGAAAGGTATTGCCTTACTTAATCCGCCACCTCTTTGAGGCCACAAATGTAGTTAGATGACGACAGGTTAAAGCGCTTCTTTGGCGGGACTCAAACAAATAGCCATAGCGGTGAAAATTTCAAGCAAAAACTACTGTTGAACGCATCAGTCAACAAAATTTCTTTGATAATTGGCGTACGATCTCCAAAGCTCGCCACTAACCTCCGGTATTGCCAGTAGGTATTCCATAAGACATCCATTCCATCATCCTGTGATGTGGTTTTGCATTGCTTTATTATGGTATTATTACAGTATATGGCACCCATATATTCAGAAAACACGCTCTAGTTGCTTATTAATCCCTCCAATTTAACATTATAGGTTGTAAGGTTGTTGTAAATGACCTTGGAGGCGGTCGCGATGGGCAGGGCTCTTCTTCTCGACCAGCAGATGTCGTCGTTAACGAAATTAAAAAGGCTGGCGGAGAAGCCGTAGCAAATTATGACAGCGTCGAGAACGGACAAACAGTTATTGCCACTGCTATTAGTAACTATGGTACGCTTAGATAGAGAACAATCACACATGCGTGTCATTAGATTTTCCTAATATCTTAAAGCATTTGATATATATTGTCTGTTCATTTTTTCAGTACCATGACAAAAACATTCAGCTAATAACTGTATATCATTTGCCCACAGGCCGCGTTGATATTTTGATCAACAACGCCGGAATTCTTCGGGATAAAGCTTTCGTCAATATGACCGAAGCTGAATTCGATATCATCCATCGTGTCCACCTTAAGGTGAGGGTAATTTATTGGTAAAAGACAATTCCCAATTATGCTATTATATTTAAGTGTTATCAATTATCATTATAAGCACAATGGCGCTGTAAGGCTATTCTCTAAAATGATACTGCGTTTCAGTATGGATGGACAGTATTATCTTTAATTCCTTAACCGTCGAAGTACGCCTTTCAAAAAGTTTTGGTTATAAAATACCTACTTCCCGAGAGTCTGTTTCCGTATAAACAATTTCAGAGATTTAATGAACAGTTTACTATTTTTCCTTTTTATAGGGCTCGTATTCGGTGACAAAAGCTGCTTGGCCATACATGCGCAACCAGAATTATGGTAAGATCATAATGACTGCATCGGCAGCTGGTATCTTTGGAAATTTCGGTCAGGCCAATTACGCGTCGGCAAAATTAGCCTTGCTGGGTCTGTCTAACACCCTGGCCATCGAAGGTCGCAAGTACAACATTGCCGTAAATACGATAGTACCTATAGCTGCATCTCGTCTCACCGAGGACATCATGCCATCTGAGATATTCGACAAGCTCAAGCCTCATTTTGTTGCCCCGGTTGCAGTCTGGCTTTGTCATGAAGACTGTTCAGACACAGGTGGATGCTTCGAGGCAGCTGGCGGTTTTGTGGCTAAGTACCAGTTCTTCCGCTCAATTGGAAAGGCTTTCACTAATGAGAAGTTGACGCCTGAAAGCTTGCGGGACAACTGGAATACCGTTACGGATTTAACGGGAGCCCGACCTCTTGGCAATATTCAGGAGCAAACGATTTCTGTTGTACAAGCTCTCTCTGGTGAGAATTCTACTTCAAATGCCGTACTACCCGCACCCCGTAGCCAAGCGTCGGCTGACGACCCGTCACTGTTTCAGTACAATATTGATTCGGTCATCCTCTACCATTTGGCTGTTGGAGTATCAACAAAACAGCCCAATTGCTTGCGATTTCTCTATGAGAATGCGGAGGACTTTAGTGTACTCCCATCGTTTGGCGTGATTCCGCCCATGAGCGCTGTGTACAACTCAGAGGAGCTACATGTAGCCATTGCCAGGGTGAAAGGTGACCCTTCCCGCATGCTTCACGGCGAGCAATATCTCGAGCTGCTAAAGCCGCTTCCAACCTCTGCTGCTATAAAGACTGACGTAAGTTAATGAAGGCAAACAAAGCTTTTCGAGTGTTCTTTGATTGATTTGTCCGTCAATCCCAGTGCAGTAACTTTAGCTTGTTCATACCACTGCAGATATATATATTAAGTGTATTTCTTGACTTAATATCAACAAACGCATGAACTTGAAGCTTGTGATGAGTATACGAAGGATTCATTGCGAGGCTAGAGCCAGCGACTTTCGTTTTCACAGCGAGAGACTTCCCCAATTACCGGCGAACGTATAGATAAATATATATTGATTAGGACAACAATATCATCGATGATACCATTGTCGTTCTTAATGCGCTTAACAAATAACAAATAATAAAAATGTAGGTGCGCATCGTAGATGTTCTTGATAAGGGCTCGGGGGCAGTGGTAGTTATTGATGCTGATATGAAAGACGCCACTTCCGGAGAGCTCCTGGCCCGTTCTCAATGGGTTGTGTTCTTCGTTGGAGCTGGAAACTTCGGTGGACCTCGCTCATCTAAAAAGGTATATTTACTAGCTTTTAAGCTTTTGATGCAATATGAAGTGCAACAAACTATATTTATACACCAACACAATTCTGAGTAGTCAACTAATATACATGTTTGAGATGTTATATCCAGTGTTGTCTAGTAGGACCACGTAGTGAGAAAAGGAAGATGTAGGCATCTCACAAAAGGCTTTGTTTATTATTTCGTTCTTAAATGAAGTCAGTATCAATAAACATGACAAAATACGCATACCGCAATAGCGATTAAAATATGAATTCAATTTTTAGGAAAGGCGAAACATCATAATATAAATCGGCAATATTCTTACACTCTCACTTCAGGTGATTCCCACAGCACAAATGCCGGCCCGCGAACCTGACGCTGTCTTGGAAGATCGTACCAGCATCGACCAGGCAGCCCTGTACCGGCTTTGCGGCGATAAGAACCCGTTACACATTGATCCAATGTTTGCTGCAATGGGCGGGTGGCAACAACCTATCATGCACGGTCTTTGCTCTTTGGGTTATTCGACCCGTCACGTAATGCAAGCTTTCGCCAACAACAACATGAATGCGTTTAAATCACTTAAGGTAAGATGCCCATTTTGATGAAGCTGACCTACTCCGGACTATAAGGAATACAGTGGTCGATCCTTAAGCAAGAACACACACTGACTATATATATATATACGTTAATGACAAGAAACGTTTTGCTCGGGCATATTTAAATTCAATGAATTCAGACATTCGTCGTGAGGCTACATCTGCGTACAGCGTAAGACACAACTTAGCAAAACGTTATCATAGTAGAATAATACTCCAGTTACTCAGTACTTTCAGTTTCAGGATTATGCCTACCACGGAGCAAATTGTTACTCGAGTTTTTTGTTTAATTGAGACAACTAATTTAGTTAGCTTAATTAATGTTTTTATTGGATGAGCTTATCTTAAGGATATCTGTTACCCTATCTGCTAGTTTTGACACGTATATTAAATATCTGAACCAGTAAGTAAAAACAAAAATAGAAGTTGATCTTTAAAACCAAGTCAAATTTAACTCTTCCAACTGAAGGGTGGCGTAGATCTTTTTTCCTGCTTCTTATCCGTATCATTGAGCAGCACCGCTGAAACCGTGGAAATATTTATATATCAACCGCGCTAACTTATAGTCTGTCGTTGAATCAGCTTCTTTTTTCATAAAGACATTAAATGTACTCGATTTTACCCACTAGAAATGCGTTTTCCATTATTTAATACTAAGCAAATAGCCAACGTCTTTCTTATGAACATAAGTTGTAACAAAAGGGTGCGTTTACAAAGGCGAAGTACTATATAATTTATAGAACTTCTGAATGAATATGTCACTCATTGCAAAGGAAAATAGATGCCAGAAACTATTATATTACGGAGCTCCACGTAATCGTTTGCGTATACAGTAGTGCGGTTAAAATTGAATTTTCAGTTTGTTTAACAATAAGGTAACGTAGAATTAGATCTATGGTTGGCTTTTTTTCAGTATCCTTCGCTCACCAGTGTAAGTAGTTGTTCTAGAATCATCATACCGTGATACTCAATGGCTGGCCCTTACCACGACGAATTTTAATACTGTTTACATTAGAGCTTCATTAGAATCTATAAACAACACCCATCATGCTATTTTGGCTCGAGCCTATGCATAGTGCTTGTCTTTGTTTCAGCGTTAGGATGCAACGATTCTGACTTAACTAACGGCGTAAAACTATATATTAATGTGACGGAACATGTACTATCATTTTTCTTACAACCGTGCATTTAAGCAAGCGTTCGAGTAATTTCTATCTTGTTTGTAGGTAAACATTCATGTGCACATTATATGTATGTGTGCGTCCAAGGGTGGAAATTTCTGGCTTTCTCAAAATGGTACGCTTGTCCCTGTAGAAGGGTTCGTCTTGTTCTTCTCTACTTTTCCTTCTGAGCCGGATGCAGTATAACTGCTAGTGAATAACGAAGGCACGTCTTACCTTGGATTTAACCGCTCTTTGGAAGCCTGCTTGTTTCGAACGCAAACATAGACACACAATCCCTCTCTACTGCAATAAACACAGTGGCGACTAAAAACGAAAAGCTTTTTGGCAGGTTTTGAACGCCCAGCATTCAATGAGCTCTTCAGTTAAAATGTTTCAATACTAAGCTTCCTAAGCATCGTAATACAGTCAAATGTTCCCTCCATTCCTAAATTTGCCTACGTAAAAGCTATACTGATAAAGAGGTGCAATTAACACTCATTCAGTTTGTGTTCAGTGTTCGTGTATCGAATAAGATAAACAAATAAATTTCGTAACTGGGCTGGGGGGATGGCGAACCTGGAACTTGGTTTCATAATTTGCCATTCTTCGTACCAAAACGTCTAAGACGTGGCTAAATTTGAAATAGAACTTTTGTCGCGTTGTCTCTTCTAAGATGTTTCTTCGCGTGTGTGCGTTGAGCCAAAGAAAGAGCCACGTACCGGCAACCGGTCGGCGAGGCTTTTTCCTCCTCCTCCTCCTCCCCGAATGACCCCGCGAAGAAGAGGGCGCCGAAGTCACAGCCACTAATGCGCCAACGTCACAGAATAAGTACCTGCCACGAAAGCCTAGTTAAATTGATCCTACATTGCTGAAGACAGTGACTCGGACGGAAAGACGTTTCAAGGCGAGCCTGGCTAGTTTCGGGCGAAGGCATGTGTTAGATGGAGTCTATCTAGTAGTACCATTTCAAATGCTGACCGCCACGTACTACTAGTACTATAGCGGTCAGGCCACCAACTAATAGTAGTAAGAAATCGCTTGTTGTTCAAATGGATCGCATCCAAAGTAGCGATAGAAAAGCGATTGGACATCATTAGGATAACTGGAGAACACCAAAGAATCCAGCGTAAGCTCACATTGTCTACGGAATGGACCTATTAGATTTAATCTAAGTCGTTGCCTACGTGTGATGTTTGCTAGCGTAAACTGTAAAGTCAATGGGTAAGTGTGCTGATGGTAGGTCGAACACACAAGGCAGTAAAAGTGATCAGAGTACTCTACTGAACGTCGCCTATTAATAAACTGACATGAATTCATTCCATTTGTAACGTTTCTTCTGGTGGTCACAATGTGAAAAATTTCACTGTATTGGAAAATGCGTTGAAATATTTGATCATATCTTATAATAAAGGCCTGGTTTTTGCCCAGATGAACTTTTTCCGTAATCGTATTGTCTTGGACCGAAATTTCTAGGCGTGCGCTCGAATTATGTGCAAGTAGCTGGGCTAAGTCTAATAGTTAAATCACGCCTTGCTGGACGAATAGCTTACGGACTGATGCAGCAACCGAACGCATTGAAAAGTATATCTATTTGCTAATTGCAGGTTCGTTTCACCGGACCGGTAATACCTGGAGAAACAGTGCGGACTCGTATGTGGAAGGACGGATCTCGAGTGCTATTCGAAACTGTAGCTGTCGAAAGTGGTAAAACTGCCATTGGAGGCGGTATAATCGAATTTCATACTCCCAGAGTTTCTGACACAGTGCAGACAGTATCATACCAGCCCGACGGTAATATGGCTAGCAAACCTGAACTAAAAACCGATATGGTCTTTGAGGGCATGCGGTTCCGTATAGAGGAACAACCTGAACTTACTGGAAAGATTCAGGCCATCTACGAGTACAACATTACTCAGGATGGCAAGACTGTGGCAACATGGACTCTTGACCTTAAAAATGGTGACGGTTCTGTTTATGAGGGTGCTTGCAAGGATGGAAAGCCTAACTGCGTCGTGACAATTAGCGACGATGATATGTTTAACATGGCGGTCGGCCAACTCGATCCACAGAAGGCGTTCATGACGGGAAAGTTAAAGGTTAGAGGTAACATTATGTTGATGCAGAAATTGCGTCTTCTCCTAAAACCGCCGCCAGAGAAAGAAAAGAGCGGATCACTGGCTGCTGAATCCTCTTCAAGTGACACCAGTGAACTACGTTGCAAAGAAATATTTTCAACAACAAACACCAAGGTGAGCAGAAGTCCTGAGCTGGCGGCCGATATCCAGACTATCTTCCAGTTCGATATTCTCAAGGGAGGCCAAGTAGCATACCAATACACTCTTGACTTGAAAAACGGCAAAGGATGTGGCTACGAAGGTCCGGCTAAAGAGAAGCCTGACTGTATTCTCATTATGGAGGACGACATTCTCGATAAAGTACACTCCGGGAAGCTTGATGCCCAGCGCGCATTTATGACCCAGAAACTCAAGATTAAAGGTAACGTTTTGGCCAGTCAGAAATTGGCTGAAATTTGGGCAGATGATCAGGATAGTTTCGATGCGGAAAGTCCGGTGGCCGTATCTGCTTCCAAGTCTGCAGGCCTGATTGCGCCGTCCGGAGCACCCAAAACTGTAAAAGCTGACTTCATTTTCAACATCTTCCTGTATCATTTACGCCAGGATCCCGCAATGGGTGAACACATTGCTGGCCTTGTAAAGTGTATGTACCACTGGGTCATTCTACAAAATGGCAAGAAGGCTTCGGAATGGACATCGGACCTAAAGACTGGAAAAGGAGATCTGTACAATGAAGCACCCCGAGGAGGAGCTAACACAGAGGTTCAGATTACTATTGGTAAGTACAGAAAACCATTTATTATAACTGAAAAGACAATTTATCAAATACAACCAAAGCATTGCAATATAATAAGCAACGAGCTTACAAATTTGGTACACAATCTTTCGACACGTGCCATGAGAATACAAGTTTTATTTCAGCATATTTTTTTCGCTTTTTTAGACGATGAGGATTTGGTGCAATTGATGCTGGGTAAATTAAACCCACAGAAGGCGTTCATGCAGGGACGACTGAAGATCCGCGGAAATATCATGCTTATGCAGAAGTTCAATACGCTCTGGCAGGAGATTGTAAAGAGCGGACGAGTGGTAGAGCTCAAGCTCATGGCACCTCTGCTATCCGACGGACAGCCGTTGTCATCCGAACTCTGGAGCGACTACCAATTTTTCCGGCTAACACAGAGGTTAGCACACCTGCCTGAGCTCGTGCAAGCTTCACAAGGCCGATCATTCCATTTCCGTGTCAGTCAGGCTGGCCAACCTCGAAGCGAATGGACCATCGATTTGAGTACCCCGCCAGGTGCCGTGTACCGGGGCGCGCCAAAGAATATTGGCAAAGTGTGCGAGATTACCATTGATGACCTTGCTATCCACCACTTGGTCGAGGGATCCTTGACTCCGCAAACAGGATTCAGTGAGGCCAATGTTAGTGACCGTCCTGCGCTTGAGGGCCTTATGCCTCTGTTCTTCAGCAAAGCTAAACTCTAAACAAAGCAATATTCAAAACGCGCTATACTCAATGGGGAACGATTAATGCCGTCAAATAGTGTGCATCAAGCTATCTTTTCTTCCCATTGGCAATACCTGACGAATACGTACAATGTTATCTACGTCGCGCTTATCATAAAAAGGACGACTAGATCTATACACCATACAAGAAATGACGAACAACTATAATCAGTATATGCTCACTCAATCTATGACGT